GGAGAGTTGAAGCGAGAGAGCAAGAAAGTCGGCGATCTTGGCCACTCCAAACATCGTCGGATCGTTGGACGTAGACGTAGTAATTGTGACGAGATTTTGTTGATATTATATTCTAAATATAGTCGAAAACTCCATCAGATCAGATCAGAGCTCGATCTACCATCAGATCAGATCCGCAAATACACTTCCATCAGATCTGAGCTCCAACACCTCAACTCCCGGTCTACCAGTTGGGATGAGCTGTTGCCTGGGATGATGAGTTGCCAATCTAATTTGGAACTCGAGTTGTTGAAAAGCATCAACCAGTGGCAGTGGGTAAACACTTGGATCCACAAAAAAAATGGGATACTTGCAAAACAAACTAGAAACTTGTTGTTCCAATATGCCAATTGAGATCCTTTACAGGGACTGGGACCCACTTGTTTCTGGTCGGGGCTGGGTTTCCAGGTAGATGGATCATTTCTGGTATATCCGTACTCCTTCTTTGTTCACACCACCCCCGCTTTGCCCGAGTGAACCTGAAGGGGCCTTGACTTGGGCCTGGGCCACTTTTGGTACCATCCGACGCTTTTGGAATTGAGCGACGGGGCTCAAAAATAAAACTGTTCCACGCATCGAGGTACAGCCTGGTGCATTTAACCGGCGACTACCCCATTGTGCAATACAGCATCACTGGAAAGCTGCTGGGAGCACACATCGAGCTTTGGGGAGAACGGGAGCCAGCTTGGAGCCAACTAGTTTCCAAACAGTATCCAGCAAAACAAAGCAGCACATCAAAGCATATATACTCAAAACAAAAAAAATGCAGATTGATTTACCAGGATCTACCTACCTTATATACATATATATATATATATGTCATCTGGCCTTGATACGGCAAACAATGTCAACGAACACCGCTGACGACGGGAAAACCTTTGTCTACTTGAGCCCTGACAATGGTGGGACATACAATTGTTTAATATTGTTTATGATTGTTCTTCGGGACTTGAAGGAAAGATTTGGCATGTGTCGTAATTACAAACAATGCCCTGATTCCTTTAGAGTTGTCAGCGGTTTTCGTGTTTTTTCATGCCAAAGACCTGCTTTGGGATTTGGTTTTCGAAGCGGTCCGTGGCATCCCCGATGACCCATCGTGCAGGGGTTGTAAGATGCCCCTGCTTGTGGCGGCCAACCATTTGCGCCACCAAGCATCACTTGGATGACACCATAGTTCTAGGTGTTGGAAGACACGAGCTAATCTGTTTGCCAGCTTATGTTTGTAGGTCTGGCATGGGTTCTCATATTGGCATCCCCATTAGCCTGGAGTACAGCTGCTCCTTTTCTTTTGTTTTACTCAACTGGTGGGCAATGATGGCAGAATCAACGACCAGGTTTGCAACCTCTGTCTTCGGCCTAATACCTTTGGACCGAACCCTTTGTGACCGTTTTCTTCGTTTGTTGCGTCACTCACCGTCACCACCATCTCAGGGTGGTGCTGCTGGTGGGATTGATCGTCGGAACCTGTGCCACCGCCGTGTGGACCGCGGTCTTTAGCTCCTCCATGGTCCGGGCCACGTCTCGCGAGCTGCGGCGGTCGGGTCGGTCGGTGTTGATTCCTCCAAGGGGATACAGACACGACTAATGGGACTGTCATAGGACTGCCGCCCCATTGGGGTGGTTGACTGGGGGTCTGTCTGGGGCGGCAGTCCGAACTGGCAGTCCCATTAGTCGTGTCTGGGATATGGTGAATTACTACCGTAGATGGACGAAAGATTCAAACCCTCCAGACCACCTTGACCGCTTCCACCCCAAAACTCAATGTTAGCAAGCCTGCCAGAGTGTGTTGGCGAATGAACGAAGCAAATAAACCCCCCCTAACGCAAATTGAAAGAAGTTGCTTTCAACATTGAAAGCGTCCAGAAGCTGGTCTCGAAGCTTCAACCTTGTTTGCTCCAATCCTTTTTCAGCTGCTAATCAGCAGAAGCGTTGTTTATCAGAAGCGTTGATGGGTTCAACCTTCGTTAGGCTTCGGGGGCCCGCATGACTCTGACGATCGACGATCATCCTTACAAGTCATTCACAAATGAAACATGGCTCCAGGGCAAGTGCAAACAAGGTTAGTCAGTGACCACCCCAAACATAGATAGACAAGTGAGTCCTCCCTAAAACCAGTATTGTATTGGAAAACATATGTCCATTGGGCATGAAAGTCATAGAACAGGACATTGAAAGCCACATCGCCGTTTTAGAAGACATACTGACACACACACACACACTTAGATGGTTGCTCGCAAGAGCTAGGTTCAGAATGAAGTCCCACTCTAGCGATTACATTACCAGCTGCATTGTAGACCTTGACTTGCAAACCGAATGGTGGAAGAGCCGGCTTCACTTGTATTGTTTAACATGGGTGAAACGGAGGAGGTCTCAAAGGCTTGAAAAAGAAGATGGCCACCAGCTGCGGCTTACAATGCGCCCAGGTGCACCGAGCAGGTACGTTTTCCTGATCATCCAGTGTGGAGCTTCGTTGGCAAAGGCCACGACTGGAGATCCCTCTGCCCCCTGCCTCTTTTTGCTCGCGCTGTTAAATTTGGCTTTACATGCGAGACATTGTGTGCAGCCTTGGAAACAGGCATTGACACACACACACACACACGACGCCGATATCGGCGCTCAGACGAATTACTAGCCACCTAACAAGCCTTAGAAAGACAGAAAAAGAAAAAGAAACAAAGCAAGCGAAGAGGGCAAGAGAGAAAGGTAGGTATAGTGACGAGGCCCCTATAGTTACTGGACCTCTAGTTACCGCCCCTACGGTTAAAATTGGTTCAAACTTAATAATGTGTGCAGCCTTAAAAACAGGCTGTGACACACACATCACGCCGATAGCGGCGCGGAAGGAAAGTACTAGCCACCTAACAAGCCTTAGAAAGAAAGAGAAAGAAGAGACCGAAAGAGCAAATGAAGAGGGCAAGAGAGAAAGATAGGAGTAGTTACGAGGCCCACTAGTTACGAAGCCTTCTAGTCACACGAGTTAAGTGCAATAGTTAGCGAGCGGGACTTTAGTCTTAGACCGCCCGGTTAGCTAGGACTAGGACAGGAGAAACAGAAGGAAAGGCACCAACACACAAGTGTGGTGAGTGCGATTTCCTTCTGTTACCCTAGATAGCGGGTGGGATAGCAACCAAGGCCAGGGGCAAGGAGGTAGGGGGGGAGGGTGGGTTGGGGTGGCCCGAAGGCATTGCCATCACTGGCGTTCAAGTAAAGCCGCATTCGGCGCACCTTTGACTGAAGCCTAAAGAAACCTAGAGAATGGCCGCAAGAAAACGAACAGCGACAGCAAGAAAGAAAAACCAACCGGACCAAAAAAGTTACTCACGTTTCTCGCTCCCCTCCGGCTTGTGAATACTTAGCAGCATCAAGTAAAACCGTGTTCGGCACATCTTTGACTGAAACCAAGAAACCTAAAGAAAGGCCTCCAGAAAAAGAAAACCAACAGCAGGAAAGAAAACCAAACGGACCAAAAAAACAACTCTCGTTTCTCGCTCTCTTCCGGTCTGAAAAACTTAGCAGCGTGAACCCAGCAAGATGATGGAAGAATTTGGAATGGATCAGGAGCAAGTCGAATCGCATTATTCCAAACTTGCTCGTGTTTCAATATTCCAGATACTCTGGAGCCTGGAGAAGGTCGAAAGCAAAGCCAAGTCGGTTCAAAGAGAAGAAGAAGATGGAGACGCACCTTCGATGCTTTCATCTGCCCAAGAAGATGAAGCTGACCACCTCTCCAGAAAGAAACTGGACTCTTCTGAGGACATAGAATCTGAAGATTTCTTAGACATGGTGCTTTGGAAACGGAGGCCTCAAGACCACACATTCTTATGTGTTTTAGACAAGCGAACTCAGAAGCCCTTTACCTTGGGATCAGGGACCCGGACTTGCAAAGACGCTTACAACGATTCAGAGCTTGACCACGTGGTTTTCCTGTTCCCATCACTGGGAATTCAGGAGGCCAAGCTCGAACTTGGCAAAATAAGCGCCTCCACATTGATCCTTCGTGATGGCAAGTGGGTGCACCGTTTGGAAAGCTTTGGCGGATTGGACAAAGTGAATGAAGCATTTTCTTGGGCCGCCAAGGCTGAAGCAGGGAAATGCGGAGTATCTGAAACAAAACGCCCCGACGTGCGTGCCATACGGATTACTGCCACATGTTCTGCCAGACTCAAAATCGCTGCCCAGCATGAAACACTTGTTCTCTGGCCGTTGCTAGAGCTCAGTGGGCCAGTCGGCTAGCATCACCGATCGGGACAACGCGTCCGCCAGATGTTCCCGGCTGCGTGCCAACGAGTACATCATATGTCCGGACTTTTCATCGTGGTCAGTGAGTTCCAATTCACGAGCCGATCACCTGTTTGCGAACAAGTTGATGGCAACGCTGAACCAAGAGTCCACATATAGGCCATTTCAAGCCACTGACATCACATATGCTCCAGAATCCAAACAGAGAAGAGCCTTATGCAAACACTATGACAGCGGCGTGCAAGGAATCTGCTACGCAGCAGATTCTTTAAAGCACGCTGCTGCTTTTGGCTTGGCATGTGAGCAGGTAGATGAGAAACTACAACTCACCGGACATGTGGATACTTAGCAGCATGCGAGAATCCTGACTGGAATCTGATCTCAGTAAGCCCTGCGGCATAGTATCAGTGGTATCGTGCAAAGCAGTCAATCAAGGGGGTTGCAGAACGAAGTCCCAGTGCAGAGACGGGGCAATCAGGGTGGGTTCCCCAGGATCTGAATCTTTGCACATGCTGCGCCCCTCGATGGGGATTACACCACAGCCCTCAGTGGGACCACACACTTAGATGGTTGCTCGCAAGAGCTAGGTTCAGAATGAAGTCCCACTCTAGCGACTACATTACCAGCTGCATTGTAGACCTTGACTTGCAAACCGAATGGTGGAAGAGCCGGCTTCACTTTTATTGTTTAACATCGGTGAAACGGAAGAGGTCTGGCCACCAGCTGCGGCTTGCAATGCGCGGCGCCATGGTCCAGGCAGATGCCACCAGGCGCGAGTTGGCTCAGCAAGGGATCCGCATAAAGCGCCAAGGCCCAGAGTTCGTGACATGGCTGAGGGACACAAATCGGTTGGTCACTGCTAGGTCGTGGACCATAGGAGCACTCTGCGCCACAGCAGTGGATGCCAGAAACACAGGCCACAGCGTGAACAGGAGCCGAACCCAGCACAATCGCTCCCTGGCCATGTTTCTGTACCGCAACGCGCCGGACACGATCGTCTCAACAGTGGCAATATCGTTGATCGACGATTACTCTGATGCGCAAGTGACCAAGGCCACCGATGGGCCCAAGGCCCTGGCAGACGAGGCAACGACCACAGGCGCCACGGGAACAGAGGCTGGCGCGTGACGCTCCCCTTCTTAAGCACCTGGCTGAGAGGAGCCCGCCCTTCCCAAGGCTGCGCTGCATGGCACCTTTGGAGATCATCTGAAATCGATGAACACGCTCCACAACCAGCCGGCGGTGAGATTTGCGAATCTCACCACATCCAAAGGGGCCAAGGTCCTGTCAGCAGTGTTTGCCGCGGCCGATGCAGTTGAGGCGTTGCCGCCATCTTCAGTTGGCGTGATCGCCGAGCTCAGGGCAGCAGTGCTGGAGTACGGGTCAGCCTTGCAGTGTGGGGACCTTTAGTTATACCCCAGGTGCACCGAGCAGGTACGTTTTCCTGATCATCCAGTGTGGAGCTTCGTTGGCAGAGGCCACAACTGGAGATCCCTCTGCCCCCTGCCTCTTTTTGTTCGCGTTGTTAAAATTGGGTTTACGGTTTACATGCTAAACATTGTGTGCAGCCTTGGAAACAGGCATTGACACACACACACCAGAGTAGTTCCAAAGGGATGCCTAGTGGAGGATAGGGGGGCCATTATCCACTCACTTACTTAAAAGCACCCCTTTGTGACTCCTGGCACACACGCACACATCCAGGGACCACTTTATTTTCAATTGAGCCGCCACGCGGCGGAGGTGAATTATCTCGCCAACGAAGCTGAGGAGATTCCGTGTTTGCGACTGAACGGGGGTGCTGGTTGAGTTTCCCGCAAAGGCAAAAGCCAGGTATCCAGTCATGAAGATGGGTTGGAAACGGTTGGAAGGTCAATACCTCAAGAAACGTACAAAAAATTGGGACAAATGCCACAAATAGATAAGGACAAGGACAAGACATCAGTTCCAATTTCACAATATTAAAAAACCTTGAGAGTGCCAAGGCCACCATTCCTTGCTATTTACGCCCTTGGGGCACACTATAACTAGTATAATACCAGTTCAGGTACCTTCATGGGGCACCCCTACAGCTCAGCATAGTTCAGCATTTTTCTTTGGCCACACTATACTAAGTATTGTTCATACATGTTCAGAAACCTGCATGGGGCGCCCATACAGCTCAGCATTTTCTTTGGCAAATTCGTTTTCTAATTCAAGTTCGTTAGTCCTTCGCCAGGACCTGCTGTCCAAGGCCGCCGAGCGGCGGATGTTGCTGGCCATCGAGGCGGCCACGCCGCTTCGGCACGGCGCGGCGGTTGGGTGGCTTCGAATGGCTCATCCCGCTGATGGCTTTCCACGGCTTCGACCTTGACCTATGATACCGTATATATATATATATAGGTCAAGGTGGGCCAGGTTCTGGGGGTCTCTGACTCTGAGTTTCACTGTGGTTGCGCCGGTGGTGATCTTCCAAAAGGTGCCATCGAAAACCACTCGAAGACCATTCCGGAGAGACTGGATGGGCGTTCCGATCAAGCAAAATCCTAAGCTAACATCCTGCGTCACTCGGAATACTGACAATATGTTCACCCAAGGAACATGTGCATTGTAGTTGATCAGTATTAGATTCTCCAGTCCCCAAAATTGCTGGTAGAAACGGTCTTGACAGACATATGCTCCGCAACGTTCCATGGTTAGATATCACCTTGTAGTGGACTGTTTTCTGGGGGGATGCTCACCTTTTTTGATAGACAATGATAGACACACTTGGTAGTAACCTTTCAAGCGACAGAAGCTCTTTCAAATCCGTGGAGGATGGTCATCTTCCTTATATTGAGAATGTTTTGACCATGGACGTGCCCCCAAACATAGGTCACACACACAGACGTGATTAGACCATGTTAGACCAACACCTGGAGAGTTTTGGGGTCATGTTGGCCCGGCCACACCATGATTTGCTTCTGGATTGTTCTGCTGCAGGTGGTCCTACGCTTGCAACGCCAGTGGAGGTCGCATGTGCCGGGCGGAGGATGACAGTCTTGGACGCTACACGTTGAGGTGCTTGCCCAAAGCCGGTGATCGCTCCACTGAGAGGGTGAACACATGTGAACACAGCGAAAGTCATCTTCGGTTTTTGAGACCCATCGCCTTTCCTGCCAGATCTGTTCTTAATGGTAGATGGATTGATTAATGCGAATAAAGCTCCCTAGTGTGAAGAACTTTTGGAATCCAATTGGAGGGGTGTTGTTATTCAAGAGTCTACATTACACCCGAGTTGCTGGTCTATTCGCTTGAATTTTGTTTGGGTCACATAAGCAGCTCATTTCATGAGGCCTTTGCGAGGGCGACCCCGAAAAACCCGGCAGGGAAGGTGCGTTCAACCTGGTATTTTGTTTATAATGTTTACCATCATTTTCCCTAGCAGCACCCTCCAACAGATTGGTGACCGAAGTCGGGTGAATGTGTTTCATGCACCTCCAAGCTCCCCGAAACGTGACCCACCAGGGCTCCCGGTGTTCGCCTCGAAGCGCGCTCCACCGGTTCGAGCCGCCGTTCGCACCGTGCTTCGCGCCGTGTTCGCGCCGTGTGGTGCCTCTGAAGTGGACGATGGCGTTTGGAGGGTCTTCGGTGAAACCGGTGGTGATGGCGGAGAAACTACCGTACTACCCACGAGTTGGCCACCTGGGAAGTTCGGTTCGCCGGTGTTTTTCCGGGGAAACGGAAACGGTTCGGAAAGCAGCGACCCAGGGATACCCACCAGGGTTTTGGTGAGTAAATCAAATGTCCCATCTCCAGACCTTCAGAACTTTAAGATGACAGTGATCACAGGAAGCCAGCATGTTGGTCGTTTGCCGTCAAAAACAACGTTTTGTGTATATGTGTGTTCTTTGCAGCCTTTAAATCGTTTAAATGTAGTTTTCTTCAAGATTTGCTTATATACATGTTTCGATCTATGTTGTTCAGATGACATCCTATATTGCATTCCATTCCTATTCCGAATCCTGTCCCTTCTTCGTGGTATTGTGGCCCGAGAATACAAACAGTGATTCCCTCTAAAGTTCCAAAAGGTGTTTTCGGAACTCCCAAATGCCCGTTCTCTCCATCTGTAAAAGCAACAAACTACGTACTATAAGTGTCTATCATATATACCATTTTTTCTCTATATATAAGCTTAAGATATGGTCAATTTTATCAGTACTGTATATAGTCATTCCATATAGCCCCACCCCAATGTAAGCATATATGGCATACATGGAGTGTTGGGTAGGACATCACGTAGCACCACTCCCATCAATCGGATCCTCCCCGTCCACCCCCGCCCGCGCCACAGGCGCCGGAAGCGGCGCCGCGAGGCCGCGCGGGCGGCGGCCGAAGCGGCCGGAGGTGCGGCTGGTCCGGGCGGTAAAGATGGTTGGTTTGGGAGGAGAGGATTTTGAGGATATAGGGTATAATATACACCAGCACCCTCCATGCAACCGGTCTAATGAACTATATATTTTATATACATGACTGCAGCATGTATAATACAAGGAAGAGATGGTAGGGATCGAACTTGACCGGGTGGCATGGTTTCTTTCCCGAACGTGAAGGAATCAAACGTGAAGCGCCGGGTCCTGGTGAAGAAGCCGCTTTAGTCATCGACATGGGACGCAAAGGACTGGAGCGATCGGTCCTCCAATTTGGAGGGAGTCGACATCCAACATGTCGGTGGGTCACATCAGAATGAGTGGCTTCTGTTTGGAGAATGAGGCTTGCTATCAACCGGAGGGAGGAAGGTCGGAGGAAGCTCATCAGAACATGAGCTACACTAACTCATGGAGATTTGAGAACGAGGACAGTTTCCTCTAAAATACTGTCTTCGAACCGCAACATGTCTTCGAACTGCAACATGAAATCACATGTCAAGGACCATGCAGACATATATTATTAGTAAGTGTTCGGTAGGTGTCAGACGCCGTGGCGGGTGCTGTTTCACCCTTTGGAAGCCTCAGTCCTCAACCTCCACGGCCTATTCCAGGAGGGCCAGGTTTCCTGGCCTACCACGGCATACCTATATTGATTTAACTAAATATGTCGTGAATCTCGAACAAACATTGTTGTGCCCTTGGGGTAAGTGAGGACAAAGCCAGGTCAACCGAAGTCTGTTTTAAAAGGTCAACATTTTGCAGGTGAGGCTTTTAACGTCTTTTGGTCGACATGGTTATCACGGGCGCAAGTGACTCCGGAAGATCATCGAAGCGAACCGGCAAAGCTTCACACATGTTCAGGGTAGACAACCACTACACTCCCTGAAATCATCATGGTGATGTGGAAGACATCCCCTTGGATGACCATTTGCCCTACAAACATGTGATGTGTTTCTATTCCATATGACCATGTTAGGGAGTGTAATTCCTGTTTTGGTTCAACATATTGGAGCTTCATATTATGGTTTTACTTTCTGCATGTGTTGTTTTGTTCAAGGCATTGACCTTCACATTCAACCTGTTATCTATAATCTAATTAATGGTTTTGAATCACCGCCGCGCAGACGACCCCGACGCAGCTGTCGCGGCAGCGGAGTCATCGGAGCCATCGGAGATGGAACGACGAAGGCTCTCCTGGCGTGGCAAGGCGTGCGGCGGACGCGTCCTGCGGCGGTGCGTCCAGCGTGCGCGCATGTGCGGAAGGAAGGAAGTGGTGTGCTCGTGTGTGGCATGGGAAATGCCTTGGAGATGGAAGAACCACGTTCAAAATGACACAACGTCTGTATTGAGTTCTAGTAATACCCAGGACCCAGACACTCCATGTATGGCATATATACATACATTGACCCCTGAAACCACCCCAATGTCGGTCAATGCCATACATGGAGTGTCTGGGATAGGATATAGTACCAGGAGGGAACTCTGGCGATTCAACTCTGTCTCCACCAGTTGGTCCTGGAGCACACTGTAGCAGGTTTTGTGGACACTGTGAGCTGGGTTCTCCCTTCTGGATGTTGGACGCCCCACAGAAGTCGTCCTTTTCTCGTTGAGACAGTAATTTGGACGTTCATTCTCAGAGTCGTGGCCATCGTTTCCTTTGCACGGTTATTTTTGCATATTTTTGTCCCCCCCCCAAAGCAACTACGTCCAATGTTTCTCAACAGAGATCCAGGGAGGTTCATCTTCCAAATCGGTTAGGGTCATGGAACTCTTTGCTCTGAAAGATGTACCACACGCAGCACCGAAGCGAAGCGAATTTGAGTTAACAACTCAAACACGCCTTCCCACGAAGGTTTACCTTCTATCACCTTCCCCAAAGCGTGGACCAAAAGATCTATTGTGATCTATTGGTTGATCTTCATATATCTTCACCCACTTCGTTTTAAAGTGCTTTTGGTTTTCCTTTAGTACAACCCCAAACCAACAATGTGGACACCCGTACACAACGTCAAATCCCATTGTTTGAGCCAGAAGCCGCCAGAAACATCATTGAGTTCATTGCTGCAGAACAGAGATATAGAGAACAACATTCAACTCGAATATCATATTATAAACTCATGTTAATTGTTGGAAATTCATGTTTTATTAAGTAACTCCCAGCATGGCGTTATAACTTCTAATGGTTTTCCACCGCCGCTTTCTTCTCGTCATACACCAGCAGTTTTAGGTCGTCCCGCATCGGTCGAG